TCAAGAAGTAATCAAAGAGAAATATAAACAAGAAATTGAGAGACTGATTGACACAACTGACCACAGAGAAAGTGTTGAAGAAATTTGGAAACATCTTAAAGAGTGTCTCATTAAAACAGCAGATGCAATTTGCGGTAAAAGAACAAAATCAGGGAAGCAAAACTGGATCACTGGAAATATTAAACAAAATGGAAGAGAGAAGAATGTGGAAAAGAAATAAGGAGAAGTACAGGAGTTTATCAAAAACTATATATAAAGAGAATGTGCAGAAAGGCCAAAAGTCAATACATTAACAAAATTTGTCATGAAATTGAATCACTTGATAAATCACATAACCCAAAAATGTACGAAAAAGTTAAACAGCTGAAGCCTAAAAAGTTACGATCAGAACAAGGTGTGAAGAATAAAGATGGAAAATTGCTTTTTGATGAAAAAGAGATCCTAGAGAGGTGGGCAGAATATATCGAAGAACTATATTCAGACCAGAGACCTGACATACTCATTGAAACGAATAGCATACATAATACTGTAAACATCTCAGAGATGGAAATAAGGCAAACCATCGCTAATCTACCAAAGGGTAAATCTACTGGAATAGATGAAACCCCAGCAGAATTTTTACAGAATATGGGTGACAAAGGAATAGAAATGATAACTTTGATAGTCAATAAATGTTATAATACAGGCCTTCAACCTGAAGATTTTCTCAAATCAATCTTTATACAGCTTCCCAAAGTAGCCAACACGAAAGAGTTTGCAGAACATAGAACAATAAGCTTGTTATCACACACAGTTAAGATCTTACTACACATGTTAAAGAGAAGAATAGCACCACTTGCTGAGAAAAGAATGAGTGAAAACCAATTAGGATTCAGAGAGGGTCGAGGAACAAGAGATGCAATATGTCAAATAAGGCTACTTTCAGAGAGAATGGTCAGTAAAAAAGAAGAAAATATTTGCATGCTTCATCGATTACAAAAAAGCATTTGACAAGGTTAACCATAGTAGATTAATTCAAGTGTTGAAAAAGTACGAGGTGCCTCCAGAGGAAACCAGGTTAATATCGAATTTATACTGGTCTGAAACTGCACAAATCAGAGGTAAATCAGAAGACTCGCGCAGCTTTAAAATTGAGAAAGGTGTAAGACAACGTTGTGTTCTGTCACCAGTATTTTTTAATATGTATAGCGAGGAACTAATAAATGAAGCCCTACAAGATGAATCTGGGTTAGAAGTGAATGGAATGATTATCAATAACATAAGGTTTGCTGACGACACCGTATTGCTCGCTAGCACAGAAGAAGATTTACAGAGATTAATTGATAAGATAAATGAAAGTTGTACAGCTTATGGTATGGAGTTGAATGCAAAAAAGACCAAGGTTATGGTCGTGGAAAAACAGCCAGGGACGAAAATCGTAATAAAATCAAATGGGGTGGCATTAGAGCAAGTAAAGCAATATAAATATCTTGGCACACTAATTACAGAAGATGCTAAATGTTTACAAGAAATCAAAAAGAGAATAGGAACAGAAAAGAAATCATTCTGGGAATTAAATGAATTAATGAAAAGCAATATCAATATGAATACTAAGAAAAGGTTACTGAAGACATATATCATGTCACTGTTAACATACGGTTGTGAAGCATGGGCAATAGGTAAAGCTGCAACAAGGATAAATGCATTTGAAACATGGCGTTATCGCAGAATACTAAAGTTAGCTGGATAAACAAAATTACCAGCAAAGAGATATTTGACAGAGTAAAAGTAAAACCAAATTTATTAAAGCAGATCGCTCAACGTAAATCGTCATTCTTTGGCCATATAGCAAGAAGCCCAAACCGAAATTTGTTTGTTAACATCATAGAAAGATTTATAAAGGGCAAAAGAGTACAGGGTAGACCTCGGAGAATGTGGATAGACGACATCAAAGAGTGGACCAACATCAAAGAATATGGGCAATTGAAAAGGAAAGCACAGAACAGAGAACAGTGGAGATCCATGATAGGCAACCTTCGAACTTACGAGGACGCTACATAGATAGATAGATAGATGCATATATATGCATATATATATATATATATATATATATATATATATATATATATATATATATATATATATATATATATATATATATACACAAATATATATATATATATATATATATATATATATATATATATATATATATATATACATATATATATATATATATATATATATATATATATATATATATATATATATATATATATATATATATATATATATATATATATATATATATATATATATATATATATATATATATATATATATATATATATATATATATATATATATATGAATGTATGTGTATATATATATATATATATATATATATATATATATATATATATATATATATATATATATATATATATATATGTATATATATATATATATATATATATATATATATATATATATATATATATATTTATATACACATATATACACAGATATGAATACATATATATATATATATATATATATATATATATATATATATATATATATATATATATATATATATATATATATATATACACATATATACATATATATATATATATATATATATATATATATATATATATATATATATATATATTTTTATATATATATATATATATATATATATATATATATATATATATATATATATATATATATATATGTATTTATATACACATATATACACACACACACACATATATATGTATATATGTGTGTGCGTGTGTGTGTGTATGTCTGTGTGTGGGCGTGTACATATATATATTCATATATATATATATATATATATATATATATATATATATATATATATATATATATATATATGTATATATATATGTATATATATATACATATATATATATATATATATATATATATATATATATATATATATATATATATATATGTATATATATATGTATATATATATATATATATATATATATATATATATATATATATATATATATGTATATATATATATATATATATATATATATGTATACACACACACACACACACACACACACACACACACACACACACACACACACACACACACACACACACACACACACACGAACACACACACACACACACACACACACACGAACACACACACACACACACACACACACACACACACACACACACACACACACACACACACACACACACACACACACACATATATATATATATATATATATATATACACACACACATATATATATATATATATATATATATATATATATATA